TACTCGGTTTTGTCTTTTTTTGTCTTCTCCCCGAGACTGTCACCAGCCATAGTGTTCCCACTCCTCTATATGGGTGACTGTTTCTTGGGGAAAAAGTCATGGCAGTTAAATGACAGCAGGCCCTGAGAAGCAGGTGGAGACATCTGTGCATGCTCCTGTCTCCCTCGCCTTTCCCACAGATGGATGGATGCAGCTTCTGCACATCTGTGTGAGCTGTGACAAGGAGCAGGAGCTGTAGTGCTAGCAAGGCATGGTTCTGAGCAACACTGCTGTGTGACCCAATGTTACGTCCTTCCTCCTTCCTCAAGCCCTTTACAAGCTCTGCACCCTGTCTTGTTGCAAAAGGATTGCTCTTAAAATGGGACTTTCACGTGAGCTTTGCTCTCTGTTGCAGTTAGAGAGCTGGATCGTTTTTTGCTTTGTTCAGTCCAGAGTTTGCTGGAGTTCCTTCCTGGTTGCAAATGAGTTTGAAATGGGTTAGATCGTGAAAGCTTATCAGCAAGAAATAACACTCATGTTTCACTTGAGTTTCGTTACATATTTATTCACTCGGGTGAGTTGCACCGCCACACAACAGCTAGTGCTTTCTTGAAGCCAAACCTGATTTTTTCTCTTCCCGTGGCACAGATCGGAAAGCTCTGAGGGGCCTTGCTGGATGTCGGGGGGAAGGCGTTGCTGGCTGCCCGGCTCGTCTCTGTCCTCGCACTCTCCAGACGCCGCTGCTGTGCTAAGGCTGTGTGGCCAATAGGTGGCAGCACCCCATCTGCTTACCTCTCGGCTTTGGGGAGAAAAGAGGGTTTTCTGCGGGTACCCGCTGGAGAAGGCTCCGCTTTCCATTGTAGCCTCAAGTGTGAGTGAAAGTGAAGTCTTCTGCATCCTGAAAGCTTCCGTGCACTGTAAGGATCCTTTCTGGAGGTCTGTCTCCCTATGTCTCCCAAACATAGGTTTTCATGCAGGAGCAAACTTAATCAGATGATCTTGAGTTTGATTTTTGTCTTTTTTGTTTGTTAGTTTTAAAGACCTTTTACAATTGTAAACTGGTCAGTGAATTCTGTTGAGTACACCTAAAATATGAGAAGTTTTGGAAAAACACAAAGTAGAGTCACTGGATTATTTATTTTTTTTCCCTTTCAAGTGTGTGGTAACTTTCACATAACGATCTCAAAATAAACCCTGAGCCTTGCTACGTCTATGCAAATAAGGCAAAGTTATCTCTCAGTAACGGCTGGGGGACAATAAAGCTAAGGTTACTTGCTACGTTACACTTTGCAAGTTACTTTGAAGGTGTGTTGCAAGTGTTTGCTGCTAAAACAAGGGGACCTGCAGGACAGGTTTGTACTGTGATGACAAAAACAGAGACTGTAAGATAAGCATAGCCGAAGGGAAGGCATCGAGGAATTGTGTGGTAGGTGAAAAGCAAGCACCAGACTTACATAATTTGGTCTTGAACCACAGCCATTTCATTTTGAACCTAAATCGGGTTCACTTTACTGGTGTTGAGTATCTGCAAAGCTTTCATCACAAAAGTAATTCTGGATCATGAGTATGCTGAGAGGCCTACGTACTTTCTCATTTCTTATGAGTTCTCTGCTCCTTGTGGAAGAGCTGGAGATGAGGCTTTGCATCTTTTCTACTTTGGTGTTGCTTAATTTCTTCCACTTTTGCCCACCTTATCCTGACTTTTCTCTAGATCCCAAATTCTGGGACACCTGTTAGTATTAAATTGCTCTTGTTATTTTCTTTGTCTGGCAGACTATTTCTGTGAGCCTGCAAATTTGGTTTTCGATTGCGTGCTGTGTTGGATAGGCTATGTGAGACTTACATTAAAGTCCTATTGATGTGTAGAGTCATTTCTAAAAATGCTTGGTATTGATCTAATTAGGCGCCCAGAGAGGCCAATTACTCAGGCAGCTCTTACTTTTTCACTCAAATATATAATGTCGGAGTACATGACTTTCTCAGATCTGGACTCTGAAAATAGAAAACCATTATTTTCAATTACTTTTTCGGATTTGTTTTCAAAACCTTGCAGCAGCAGTAATGAGGATGTCGATCTAGATAGAAAGTGTCTGAAAGTCCCATCTTTCTACCTTACTCAAAGGAGCCAAGCATCTGACTAATAAGGCACATTTCTGGTCAGAGGTCCTAAAAACATTTCTGCCCTTTCTCACTTGTATCCAGTGTCTCTTTCCATAGGATGGAAAGTAAGATTTCTTATGGCAGCACGTCACTTCTAGAGCTCTGCCCCTAAAGACCTAAGCAAAGATGTTTTGCTCTTTCATGTGCCTTTTTAAATTTCTGCGACTCTTGTTCTATGTTATTTTAAATATTCACCCTTCCCCCCCTGCTCTTGCCTTTATGCATTCATAAAGGATGTTTCTTGCTAGATTTTGGCTGGAAGAAATCTCTCAGTAATCTGAGAAGGGCAGAAAAGACCAAGTCAGGGGAGGTGGCGCTTGGGAGCCTAATCCCTAAACTCCCGCGGATTAGAGACGGGGCGCTGCGCCAAGGCAACCCAAGCTCTATTCCTGGCCCTCTAAACCCCCTAGCTGCTTTGGATCTGCACTGTGCACGTTTCAGAGAAAGCACTGAGCTTGCGATGTGTCGTCAGCAGTTTTTGAACCCTCTGTGAGCTAGAAAGGGCATCTCTGTGATGAACTAGGCTGGGGGAGCAGGGGTGCCAGTGGTTGGGGTGGATAGAAATGTGGGATCAACACTGTAATTGAATGCACCAGAAACTAACCCCAACCTTGTTTTTCCCTGTTCCCTTCCTCTCTCCCAAAGTGTGACTTTGCTTTCAGCTGTCACGTACTTGGTTTGATGCTGCCAAAGTTTGTATGGAGAAGCTGTGCTGGAAACAGGCATTGGGCAGAGGCTGCAGGCTGTGCAGGTGTGGTTGCATGCATGCACGTGTTAGTGCTCAGGGAATGGAGTAAGTGCTGGAGCATGTTGCAAGTGAAGATGCAAGAACTTTGCAGAGCAATAAAGTGTGTGTGGCTTGTTTGATTTGGAAACTCAACCCCTCTGTTCCAGATGTTTTCAGCTGTGTTTATAGCAAGTAGCTACTGTGCTGCTCTTGGAGGAAAAAAAAAAAAAAAGTAATTGTGGTATGCCTACACAACAGTTGCATGCAGGCAAGAGCAGCATTAATGATACTGAAGGATTTAATGAAGAACTTGAGCTTTCAGGGTAGGCTTCTGTGTCATGGCTGTGTGTTGTGTTGGTAAGAAGCATATTCTACCCCTTAATGAAGAGTAACAACTACTTGTAAAATGATAGCTTTTGGTACTGTCTGAAATCAGTCAGGATCTGAGGCTCATGTTCCTTTCTAGGTATGGTGCCGTATTATTTGCTGCCATCCGGTAATGCGAATGAAGAATATGTGTTTTCATAAGTTTAGATACTGTTTTTTGAATCTGATTTGTTTCGCTTTTTTTTTTTTCCTCATCTGCAAAACATCTGGATTTGCTCACATGAGTTGAGCTGCAGCCTGCAAACTGGAGAGGAGGCTGACAGCTGTGTTAGTACAGGTACTTGAGGTGGGGGACATGATAGCGAAGATGAAAGGGCTGCTGCCGAACTACTGCTTCTAGAAACAGAGAGCTCTGGTGATTTTCTAGCCAAACATTTCTCTGTTTAGGTAGACATGGGCATGCTGTTGCAAAGTAGATATCCTAAAACAATTTGCTTGCCCTGTTTTTGTTCAGTTTTTATACTGTCCTGAATCTGACTGTGCCTCTACAGATCCCTTTGAGTATTTGTTAATACCGCATTTGGAACATCCTGTGGGATCACAAGTGAAAGTCATATAGATGTGAAGAAGTTTGGAAGAGTTTGTTTTTTTTTGTGTACCAGGCTTAGCTCTGTTCCATCCAGGAAATATGAATAAAAGGTAATGGTTTTTGATTATTATGCATATATACCTATTTCTTACCAGTGGTAGGAAAACAAGTTACAAACTCTCTCCCCTTCTTTTAAGAATAGAAAATTTGCACAGCTCATTGTCTAGCAGTGTATGTTCAGCTTCCAAGTGATATGCAAGTAGATTATTTAATACAACTAGAAATGTTTTCTTTGTTATTTTGTCATTTTTGTGTTTGTTTTCAGAAGCGAGCTTGCAAATGAACCATTGAAAAGCATTCAGGCTCTTTATTTTGTGCATGAAATATAGCAGTAAGTGTGTCTGGGCAGTGTCCCAGAGGACTTCACAACAGCAGTATAGAATTAGGAGCCTTTTCTGTAAAGAGGAGCTGATAAGAGGTGGAGAGAGATGGAAGGGGAAGGAGAGCAACTGCTGAAATCAGTCTCCAAATAGATGAATGAATGGGTGACACACATAAATGACTGCTGTGATGGCCTGACTTACTGGAGCTTGGTCTCTGGATAATCCCCGTATGTCAGATTTCTGTAAGGCCAACATGTGACACAAAGCTTGCCTCTCGACAGACAAGTGTGCTTTGCTGGTATTAAGAGGCTGGCTGAAGCCGAGTCTCCCACTGTGCATTCGAACCCGTGCGTATGTCTGTGTATAGTATGTGTGCTGCAGCCAACATCCTTCAGAAGAACTTGAAAGGGGAACTGGAATTCCACAAGCTCTTGGCTCTTGCATAGACAGTCTCAAACTTGCCTGAGTGTGTGTATGTCCTAGTTAGGGAAGAAAAAAAAAAAAAAAAAAAAAAAAGAAAAAAGGAGGAAAAAAGGAAAGAAAAAAAGAAACAGAAAAAAACCCACAAAGACTTCTAACCGGGATTACCTTTCTTACACCTGTCACCACTGATGTCCTCTCAAGGTTAGAACTCGAGCGACGCGAGGCCAGCTTATACCAAACGCCATTTGAAAGAAGCTCTATGAAGGAACGGCAGGCACTGGAAGGAGAACGGGAGTCCCCACAGTAACATGAACAACAACTTACAAGTTAACCTGCCCAGGACTTGGGCTGGTTCAAATAGCTCGCTCCAGGAGAAGTCTGAGCATTCCTTTTTTCTTTTTTATTACTATAGGATGGAGGACGAGGCAGTACTGGATAGAGGGGCTTCCTTCCTTAAACATGTATGTGATGAAGAAGAAGTGGAAGGTAAGAGACCTTGGACTGCTGGGGATTCATTGTTCTTCCAATTCTTATTTGTATATAAAATTGCCAGATAGGTAGTAGAGAAAATGGACGTTCTTGTTTTGACTGAGTATTAATCCTAAAATTGGCCAAAACACCATTAAGCTTACTCAGGGTCAAACTGACTTTTAAAATTTAAAATACATTGTCTTTTTCAGTTCAAGAGTGAAAGTTAGTGTATGCTCCTGGTTCACATTTGCACTTTAATTTTTACACAAAATCCCATTCACTGTCTCTTGCATAGTGACCGTGCAGCACAGGCTATTTGTTTCTTCTACATGAGTTTTGGCAATGCTTGCATATCCCCACTGCACCTCGGAGGGCTGGAATGCAGTAACAGGTTTTGCGGCGTGAAAAGAACGGCAGGATTTGTACCAACTGTTGGGGGTGGGCATGGAGGGTGTTTTCCTGGGTTATTCTTTTGTCTTTTGAAGAGTTTTCCCTGGAAGAGAAATTTCCAAGAGAGCAAAATGTTTCCTTACCTTTCAGGAAAAGAGTAGATTTTGAAAGTGTTTTAATTTTCCCTCTGACTGAAAACATTGTGAGATGTGAAAGGAGAAAGGAGCTTAAAGTTTAAGTTTTTAAGATTGGCTACGGAAAATTTTTGAAGCTGATAAGAATGAGTTATTTGCAGCAAATTCTCCTTTCCTTGTTTTACGACAATCAGTTGACAGGGTATTTGATAAGCTAATAGGGAAAGAGGAGGAACAAACCATGGACTGTATTCTAGCTAGAAAGGAAATGAAGCCAGCGTTCTGCCTCACAATGTTGCCCTTCCCCTTTTGACCTGGATCTGTAGTTTTAATCTAGTTTATTTGTAAACTGCGACCAATGGCTTTCCTTTAAAATGTTTTGAAAGGTATACGGTTTCATGTCATTAATACCAGTAGCGGACATCAGTGGATTGAGCAGTGTGAAGGAAAACTGTCTGCAAAATTGATTGATTCTAGAACATTTGCAGCAAGACCAGTCATTGCCATGAAAATACCTGTACTTGGGGGGGGGGGCCCCCCCCCCTAGTATGAATTCATCTGTGCCCAGTAGCTATGAATCACCATGTTGAGTTTAATTAGTCCATTTGCTGTCTGCAGGGTTGGAATGACAGGGTTTTTCTATTAGATTTTTGCTTCTAGAATAATTGATACTTTGGCACTCCAAAGCAGAAACTTTTGGGAGGAGGAGGGGAAATGTTTCTTGTAATGTAATGTCTTAAGTGTTGCCACGTGCTCTGATGGTGTGTATCACCCATATGTGATACACAAGGAGTATGATAGAGATTTTTATTTGAGAAGAGTGGTACTTGAATGTCCATCTTAACAGTCCGTGACAAAGACCATTTGTGAAAAAGGTCATGGCTGATGTTTTAAGTAACGTAGCACATTTGTCTCCGTGTTTCAGAGAAGAGCTTATCATTTGATTTTCTTGGGCTAACAGACCAGCTGCTCTTCATCTCACTGGGGTAAGGGAAAGAGGAGGTGGAAAAAAATACTAAGTATTTCTGATTGCACACAGTGGACCTCTGAGAGCTGTAGCTGCTTGTCTGAATCTGCAGAGACTTGGGCTCTGTAGCCAGCTAATTCCCTTGTTCATGCTAAATGCAGTGCCTTGATTCTCGCCAGCTTCAGTGAATGACCTAGCTAAATCACAAAAGAAGCTGCCGTCTGTGGCAGGGCTGGTGCTGATGCTGTAGCATCTGTCAGTGTCACAATGCAGAGGGGTGTGCATATGATCTGACTGGTGAGTTGCTGCTCAGCCGCTCCTTGCTTCTGTGCTGGAACAGTCTTAAATCCAGAGCTTGCCTTGCAAATTTGAGGTGTTACCACAGTGCAAGTAATTATTCAAGCTCTGGCAGTTTGAAGAGAACTTACTTGCCATAACTCAGAAAATGCATGTCGGTAATTATATCTCATCCTTTACACACACAGGTATGTGCCTTGTATATAGCTACAAGAAACGCATGTGCACCTGATACGTACGGATGTACCCCATGTGCAATCACAGTATGCACTTATCTGATGGAATGATTCAAATGTCAGGTTGAAGGCCCTTGGCCTGCATTTTGTGCAGATTGTTTTAAGTCTCTTTGCTAGACGTAGAACAAGGATCTGAAGCACAAGTTTATGAGGAGCGACTGAGGGAACTGATGTTGTTCAGTCAGGAGAAGAGCAGGCTCAGGGGAGACCCTGTGGCTCTCTACAGTTGCCTGAAGGGAGGTTGTGGCGAGATGAGGGTCAACCTCTTCTCCCAGGTAACTAGCAATAGAACGAGAGATAATGGTGGATCCCCACCAGGGGAGGTTTGTTTTGGATACTAGGAAAATTCTCTTCTTGGAAAGAGTGGTGATGCATTGGCACAGGCTGCCCAGGGAGGTGGTGGAGTCATTGACTCTGGAGGTGTTGAAGAAAAGTGCAGATGAGGTGCTGAAGGGTGTGTTGGAGGTGCATTGACAGTTGAACTTGATACATCTTAGAGGTCTTTTCCAATCGTAGTCCTTCTTTCATTCTGTGGTTTCTGCTTTAGAGATGCAGTGACATAGTTTCAAGAAGATCAGTATGTGTAGAGACCTGAATGTGCTCATTCTAGCAGAGAGAACTTCAGTCAATTGATATTGTTAGAATTTTTCTGAAAGGATTGTACTGGCTGCATCCTCTGTAGAAGGTAACTTCTGATGGAGTTATCTCCAAATGTATTTTTTTTTTACTGATAATTTTTTATTTTTTTCTGCTTTCATGGGAGAAAAATATCACACAGTTGTTTGCCTTTTTCTTATTCATTGATCTGCTAATAATTTCTTTTTCATTCAGCAGTCAATTTTGATCAAATTTCTTAGGAAGGCTGCTTGAAGTTATTTCTTTGAACTTGTTAGAAAGCAGCTGAGGAGGGGGATGAGATGTTATAATGCCCTTAGAAAGCTGACTGGTTTTCTTGCTTTTGAATATGCCTGATTTAAAACAGATGAAGACAGTTTTTGAAAGTCATCATCCTGAGCATATTAACTCTCCAGAATGGAAGAGAAAAACAGCACGCTGTCGCTCTGAGGTAGCAAGCAACTCCTGAATTCAGTCTGTTATTATTATTTTGGTATCTTATTGCCTTGTGTTATGTCTGTCAGATGGAGATACAGCTCTGGATTAGCACATCGCTCACTGATTTGATTATGTAGTGGTGTGGGGGAAGAGGAAGGAGTGGGGGGGAAAATGGGCATTTCTGGTCAGCAATATGTTTAGACATTTTCAGCTTGAGGTGGTTGTTGGTCATGCCCTTGCTGAGTAAATGTAATATTAACAATAGAAACCATGTACACATTGCAAAAGAATGTCCTTTTGGCCTAGATCCAGAGATTATTTAATGCTTCTCTAAAGTGGCACCTCAGTCTAATCCTACAGTGCATGTTTCTTCTATTTTATTGGTGATATCAGCTGTGGACATTCAGAAATCACTTGGTTGCATATACCCTTCCTATTGTCTTTCGTGAAAGTTAATTGATAAAATGATTATGTTTTAGTTTTCAGAGCTGCTTTGCTGTCCATAAGTGATGTTTTGCAGAAGTGTCCAGAAATGTTACATGGCGAGACGGAGGGGTCTCCTAGAAGTCCTGTTCAGACTATGAAAGAAAATGAGAAACTTATGTTTTGCTGGGGAAAATAAGAGCAGGCACTGCCCTGAGCTGAACCTCCTGTGCAAGAAAGCCATTCCCATTCATTTTGAGCACTGCACGTTCCTTTCCTTGAAGGTAACGACATGTTGCTGTAATGCCACTGTTAGGAGTGCTGGTATGTGTGACACAAAGAGATTACTTAATAACCAATTTTGCAACAGGGGAAAAATAAAGCTCCACCTTATCCTTTGAGATAAGGTATTCTTGGCTCCTTAAGTAACTTCCCCCAGGCTTGCCGTCCTGCCTTTGCAGTGGGGTGGAGGATGCAGGATTTCAAGTCTGGCAGCTCTCTTACTTGAAAGCAGGGTAGCACTCTGGCTGTGGCCCATAGGAGAAGAGACTAGCTCTCGTGTAAAGTATTTTGTGCTGTTTTTCAATGGATTCTCAAAGTAATGGCGTGGAGAGTATACCTTAGCACTGAATTCCAGAAGAACTTCTGTTACAGTGAAAACTGTTCTGTGGATTTCATTAACATTATAGGATTTACTGCATACATAGCCTAAAACAGGGACTTTGTGGGAATGTCTGGGGACATCTTTTGCCATTTTTGCTAATTGCTCCCCACGCTTCCATCTTCCTGTTCTTGACCCTGTTGTGTCACTACACTTTGTTGGTAGAAAGCTGTGCTATGGTGGTTGGATCAATGAAGAGAAACAAAGATTGCTGTGAAAATCGTTACCTTCATTAACAGAAGGTAGAAGATATGAGAAAGCTGTTCCATTTAGCCATTTACTTTGTTTTCTTCTTTTCTTCTCCCACTGCAACCCTCAGTTTTTTATGACTATAGACAGACCACCTCTGTTTTCAGAAACAATCAGAAGACCTGTTTCATATCAATTCAAGCTTCTAATTGCTTCTGAAATAAGTACAATAAAAAAAAAAATTGATCATGTGAAGTCTAGCACAGAATGTACTTCATTATTTTTCTTTGGTACCTACGCTAGTCAGCGTAGGCTGCATTTCATTTAGTTTACAGAATCACAGAATTGTAGGGGTTGGAAGGGACCTGCAGAGATCATCGAGTCCAACCCCCCTGCCAAAGCAGGTTCCCTACAGCAGGTCGCACAGGTAGGCATCCAGGCAGGTCTTGAACATCTCCAGAGAAGGAGACTCCACCACCTCCCTGGGCAGCCTGTTCCAGTGCTCCGTCACCTCACTGTAAAGAAGTTCTTGCGCACATTTGTGCGGAACTTCCTATGCTGCAGTTTCCGGCCGTTTCCAGTTGTCCTGTTTCCACTCACCACTGAAAAGAGTCCAGCCTCGCCATTCTGCCCCCCACACCTTAGATATTTATAGACCTGGATCA